TGATATTGAATAGTGATAAAAAATTTCACAACTTCGACTAATTTTTAAGGTGCTGGCATTCTTTTATCACATCTTATTACTAATGATATTAGCATTATCTGATTATTGGAACATTTTTTCGAATTTGATTAAGGAAAATTAAAAATAGTTATGAATTCTTAAATTTGAGAAAGAAAATAAAAGATAACAATGTTAAATAATTGAGGTTGGCATATGGTAAAATCAATAATTTGTTTAGGTTGAAATTAGAATCACGCAATTACCTAAATTAAACCTGCCCAAGGTTGATATGATCCATTTTGATTATAAATTATTAATTCTACGATGCGATAAATTGATTTGAGCAGTTCAACTAAATTCAATTCAGCATTTCATAATTGAGCTAGAAATTTGAATAGTTGGACAAGCACAAAATTAGTTTTTATGTAGTCAAGCATAATCAGTAGATTTCTCCGACTGTCCATCTAATGTTCTTTTTTTATCACTTATTGATTAACTATCAATTAAATCAATTTAAATTCAAGAAAATGGAATGACGAGCATTAACATGAATATAATAAGTTATGCGAAATGGAATATAAACAGTAATGGCTGCATTCATAATTGGGACACAGTTCCGAAGTCTTATTTTGCAATGAAAATGCATTGTTCTACATGAATCATTTAATGAAATACCTTTAGACGCATAAGCATACAAATATATTCTAAAAAAATTCTGTTGTTTAATCAGAATATTTCAACCATTCAGGCGGTTAACATAAGAATTAGTCAATTACTAAAATATTTGTTCGTTATCGCTAATATAATCAATTACTAATGTATCCATTCATTTTACCTTTCTTTTTAATCTATAAATTATTAATAAATTTATGCATGCAAATTATGTTGTGGTTGCGGTAGGCTTTCGTGGCAATAACTTCTGCATTTCGAATGTTTTTAAAGTTTATTCAGTGCATCATGTATTTGATAACTATAAAATACGAATCAGAGAAAACTTCGCTTTAATTATTCAGAATTTTTTATCTCTACAACAGCACAAAAGTTAGCCACCATAATAATAATAGTTGTATGGGTAGCGACCACAGTAATAGTAATAATAAGTCGGTTTGTACGTATTAAACACTCCGTATCTACTCTAGTAAGGACAATGAGGACATGAGGAAACTCTACCAATCAAGCTAGCTACAAGCAACTATGCACAGAAAATAATGGGCCAGGAAGATTCGATGTTGATCTCGTTCTCGGCCAGCTCCTGGACCAGCTTGATTTCTTAGAACAGCACCTCTTCCCGATACCTCATTATTATCGACTAAAGTTTAAAACAAGCCTGTTCAACGGCTTAGTGAATGATTGAAACTTAATCCAATGATTGAAATTTGAAATATTTTTATTAAAATGAATAATAATTACAAAATGATAATGTGCCACATACTGTAACTGCTACAGTAAGAAGACTACAATATGCGATACACCAAGCATTATCTAATGAGACAAGTGAAATTTCTAAGAAACATGCAAGGAAATAAAACACAAGGAATAACATCATATTAAACAATCCAAAATTCTTGCAAATATGTTTGATATCATGAAATTAACATTATTACAATAATGTTCACGTCTATAAAACTGTTAGAAAAATGTTTGCTTTATTCTTACTGAGGAAAATTCATTCAAAATTAACCATAAAATTAGCAAGAAACTTGTTCTCATCGCATTTTGTTGTAATAAATTATCATAGAAGATGATATTTAACGAACAACATGAAATTGATTAAATGCTTAATTTTATCAAAAATAATTGGCTTGATTATCAGAAAAATGATAAGTCATAAAGTTCAGGATAAAGTTGCTCGAAAGTTCGTTAAATACCATCTTCTATGATAATTTATTAGAGCCATGAAGTACCGACTATCATGAGGTACCGATCATGACATCACATGTGATTGGTACACAATTTCGAAGTCTTATTAGTAATTCATATACACTGCGTTCAGATTTCAATGTGCACTTCACTAAGTAAGTTTTGTGAAAATAAAGCTTGAAATAGATTTAATGCCTACCACCCCGTCAGCATTGTGCCTTGCGTTGAAATTATTCATTTAAGAAAATGGATCCACTTCTCACTATTCCAATGCTACACATTTTAAATGGTTTATGTGACTCACGATTTTAGGAATTCGTTGAGTTCGTCTCTAAATACGAATCGGTTTTCCGAGAACTGAAACAGTAGTTTTTGAATAATTCTCTTGAATTTTGAAGCTGTTGACCATAATACTTCACTTTTCATCATGTGCTTCTGATTTCTGTCTTTATTTACCAATTCACTTAATTTTGAAAAATCGCAATAATTCCATTAGAGAGAGAGAGAGAGAGAGAGAGAGAGAAGAGTGAAACAGATGACGTAAGGAGTAAAGAAAAATACTGGTAGTGAATACGGGGTTATGCCTACGGTAATAGAGGATGTTACAGTCAATTAGCTTAACAACCGTATGGATAAGCGTGCTGTAAAAATCTGTTCCATATATCCAAGCGAATTGTTCGTTTTTCGGAAATATAATCTAATGATTTGCTTTACTTGCTTAGTCATATTGTTATCGTCATGCATTTCATACAATTGAAATCTTCGATATACACTTACAGAATTAATCATACAGTATTTCTACTTCACTTGAATTGTTCAGTGATACCCGTACCGGCACCGAGTACTTCAAAGCAGATCTAGATAATTATATTCATATCTATATCCTGCTGACAGACCAAAACAGCGAAACCGCGTTTTAATAATGCAATAGAAGTATTGTAATATGTTCTTGTTGGGAATGATGACCCTTAAATGAAAACAAATTCTTAGTATATCACATACCCTATTTTTTGTTAGAATATGTGAAAAATAATTTACTATCAGAAAATGATTAGCCATAAATTTCAGGATGTGGCTGCTTAGAAATTATATGAAGTTTATCATTCATCCGCAACTAAGTACTAACAAAAACAGTTAATTATTGAGAGAAATCTATTTCGTCAATTTGATCGCTGACGGAATTGAAGAGAAGGACAATTCATTTGTAATGTACAAAATTGATGACATTGCACTTCCTTTTCTTTTTACAAAAAGACAGGTTCTGAAGAAAAGTAAAATTCGTGCCCTTGACGATTTCAGTTGTGATTTTCCAGTTAGTTTTACTTCGAAAATATTACTTCAAGGCAACAAGAAAATCGATAACGGATCAATTGGAAGTGAAATTACAGTGAGCATATATTGATGATTTTGATTGTATAAAATGCACGACGATAAAAATATGATGAGGTAAGCAAAGCACATTATTCCGATTGTATTTCCGGAAAACAAACAATCCACCATGGATGTATGAAACGGGTATAATGGGTTAGGTTAATTGGCTTAGCACCTTCCGCTACCGTATGCATAACCTCGTATTCACTTCATTATTTTTACTATGTTCTCTCTGTCATCTCTTTCATTTTTCTCTCTCTCTCTAACTGAATCTTTTCAACTTTTTTCAAAGTTAAGTGAATTGGCACATGAAAAGGAATAGAATGCAAAATTGCTTTGCTTAAGAGACCATTGTTTTTAAAGAAATTGACAGACTTAAACATATGATTTCAAGAATTCAACAGGCCTTAACAACATAACAGCTTTGTAAACAAAACAAACGGTTTTGTTTCTAGAAAAATTGTCCCAACAATATGTGATGAAGTATTTGAAGTCAGTTGGCTTCAAAATTCAGCTAAAAAAATGTACATTCAAAAATTATCATTTCGATTTTCAGGAAACCTTATCCCGTTTTTAGTGACGAAGTAAACAGATTCTTAAAATCATGAAGCCGAATGTTTGCAATTTGGAAAGAATGGACGGACATAAACGGTCGCCGAATATGTGTAACTCGAAATCTTAATCTATAAGACAGCGTATGTTAATTACAAAATAAGATTTCGAAATTATGTGCCAGTTACATGTGGCGCCATGGTCGGTACTTCGTGAAGCACTTCATTGCATGCAGTCATTTCCGGATTTTATTTGCATGAATTGATAACGTTATTCTCTCATTTCCTTAACAATTACAAATATTAATTTTTAATCACTAAAACATTTCGAAAAGTACGCTAACCAACAGCATTTCTTCTGACTCATCCAGAAAATCATCCAAAAACAGGCCTAAATCAACAAACAGTCTTCTCAATTATTAAAATTTCCCAGCTACAGTATTATATCCATTTCGTACATCCACTATGAAAAGTATGTTTTCCGGAAATACAATCAGAATAATTCACATTGTCTAATTCTCAAAATTTTCAAGTCTTCGTGCATTTCGTACAATCAAAATCATCAATATATACTCACTATAATTTCATTTCCAATTATTTCGTAATCGATTTTCTTATTGTCTTAAAAGTATCATTTCCGAAGTAGAACTAATAAGAATGAATCACAACTGAATTCGTCAAGTACACAAATTTCACTTTTTTTCAGAACCTGTCTTTTTGTAAAGAGAAAAGGTAATTCAATGTTATCAATTTTGTATATTGCATAAATGAATTAATTACCTCCCATCGTCCAATTCAACCAACGTAAAATTGATGAAATAGAATTCTCTTTGTTTTTAACCGTACCTGTTAGTAATTAATCCGAATTCGCAATTATCAATGAATGATATACTTTATGTAACTTCTAAGCAACTTTACTTGAATTTTATGGCTTATCATTTTCTAATAATTAAGCTAATTATTTTTGGAAAATGTATGCATTAAATGAATTCCACGTAGTTCATTGAGCGTTTGTAAAATACCATCTTCTATGATAATTTATTACGACAAAATGCAATGAGAACAAGTTTCTTGCTAATTTTACGGTTAATTCTGAATGAATGTCCTCAGTAAGAATAAAGCGAACATTTTTCTAACAGTTTTTTGGAGTAGACTTTATTGTGATAATGTCTATTGCACATTATCAAACATATTTACAGGAATTTTGGATTATTTATTATGCTGCCGTTCCTTGTCACCAGATATTTCATTGCTCTAACAATAATGTAAGTTAAAATGATGAACAAATATTTTTACCGTTATGGCATCAGTTATTTTATTTACATACCTGTTGTTTTTCTACTTTTTCAGAATATTTCTATCAATTGTTGAAACAAATGCACAATGGGTCCGTTTAAATATATTGACATCCAATAGCCAGGGAGGCCACAGAGTGAGTTTCATACTTCTTTGAAGTATTAACTTTCATGTGAGTCTCTTATAAGTTTCACTTACTTTATGAGGTAATGCTGAATGTATTGCGTACTGTAGTTTTCTTTTTGTAATACTACTACGTTTGGCGCATATTCATTATAAGTATAATTGTTAATCATAGTAATAAAAGCTTATTTTAAATTCAGTCATCGAACAATAATTTAAATTTCAGTCGTTGAACAAACATATTTTAAATTTCAGTCCTTGAACGATTATACAGGAGGAGGGCTTGTTCCTCGAGGACAACTTCCGGGACCTCCTGCTCAAAAACAAGACCAAACAACATCGAGTTCTCTTGGTTCATTATCTGCTTTACTTAGTTTACTTGGAGGCAGCTCGACTGGTGGAAGCTCTGCATATCCTTACTATCCTTACTACGGTGGATACGGAGCGTATAGTGGATACGGGGCGTATAGTCCGTATATGTCGACATATTATTATGGTGGTTATCCATACTACTATTACTACTATTATTATTATTATTATTATGGCTAACATTTGTGATTAAAAAATTCTAAATAATTAAAGCGATGTTTTGTTTGGCATTATGTTCTACAGTTATCAAATACATGATGCACTGAATAAATTTCAAAAGCATGTCGAAATGCATAAGTTATTGCCACGAAAGCCTCCCGCAACCCTAACATAATTCGCATGCATAAATTAATTAGTAATTCATAG